TCAGCAAGGAGGGGGGCCCCGCCATCGCCCGCGCCCTGCGGACCAACAGCACCCTCAGGAAGCTGGAGTAAGTCCCATGGGCCCCAGGAGGGCACCCACGCTGCTGCGTGGTGTTGCCGGAGTTGTCCCAAACTCCATGTGTGTGACTTGTGTCCTCTGTCCCCTGCCTCTAGCTTAGCGGCGAACCTGCTGTACGACGAAGGTGGCAAGGCCATCGCTTTAGCGATGAAGGAGAACCGGGCGCTCACATCCCTCCAGTGAGTTCCCCCTTGGATTTGGATGGTTTCAAAGCCCCTTGCGTGGACGCGGGGCAGCGACACTGCTCCTGGGCCTCAGCCCCTCCAGGCTGTGAGAGCGGGGCACCCTTCCATGGGACACCTGATGGACTCACGGGGTCTCACACAGGGGTCAACCTCCCAGCCTTTGCCACGCTGGGTGGGAGCGGATGGGTGCTGAGCCTGCAGGGGTCGGGGCGTCCTCACCTCCCCTTCTTTCCCGTTTGCAGCTTGCAGTGGAACTTCATCCAGGCAAAAGCTGCCACGGCCCTGGCACAAGCACTACAGTCCACAAGGAGCCGGGCCAGCCTCGAGTAAGTGGGGACACGGGTGGGCAGGTCCAGGGCAGTGTCCTCCTGCTGGGATCTGCCCCAGGACTCTGCCCGCACGCTGCTCCAAGGTGGCTTTGCCAGCTGCCTCCTCTGGTCCATCCTGTGTCCCCATCGCATGCCCCTGGCAGGAGATGCTGTTTGGGAAAGGCCGGCACGCTGTGCCCTGTGCTTGCTGCCCATCTCCCTGCTCCCGGGTGCCTGGGCCACGGGCAGACGCAGCACTCGTGTGTCTTAGCTTGCAGGAGAACGCCATCGGAGACGAGGGAATGGCTGCCCTCTCCGCTGCGCTGAAGGTCAACACAACCCTGGCAGATCTCCAGTGAGTACCCAGGCTGCGGTGGGGCCCTGACGTTGCAGCCTGTCTAATTAGCTCCTCTAATGAACACACCACAGCCAACTCACGACACGCACGCGCTGAAGGGTCCTTGTTCTCTTGCAGCCTGCAGGTGGCTTCAGTTGGTGCGGCTGGTGCCCAAGCCCTGGCAGAAGCCTTGATGGTCAACAAGAGCCTGCAGACCCTGGAGTAAGTGCTTGGTGGGGCCACAGCTGTGACATCGCTCCTTGGGGGTGTCCGAGACCTTGGTCCTTAGCTCAGCATCGCTTCCACCCTTGCATCGTGTCCTACCAGACCTGGCTTGCCTGTCTCTTGACTCATTCCACCTCTCCCACCTCCTCCTCTCGCCTGCGGACAGCACAGAGCCCTCCCGGGCTGTCCTTCCTCACCGCCTGCCTTCCTCTGCAGCTTGCGGGGAAACTCCATTGAGGTGGCAGGGGCCAAGGCGATGGCCAACGCACTGAAGGTGAACCGCAGCCTCCGCCGGCTCAAGTGAGTACCCTGCTCCCTGGGGTGGGAACCAAAAAGAGCTCTTCCAGACCTTCCTGGAGGGAGCAGCAAGGGGACGGCCAGGCCAGCAGCTCTCAGCAGGGCAAACCCTTGAGCTGGTGGCTTTTCCCAATGCTCACGCACATGGCATGCATTCCCTCCTGGTGGCCACATCTCCCCGGCCGGTGCTTTCTGACCCTCCCATCTCCCACAGCCTGCAGGAAAACTCCCTGGGCATGGATGGAGCCATCTGCATCGCCACCGCCCTGAAAGGCAACCACGGCCTCACCTATGTGAAGTAAGTGGCTGCTGAGCCGGTCGGTAAGGCAGGGACGGGGAGCCCGGGGGAACCATCAAGGGACCGTCCCGACTGGCACTGCCCGCTCCTGGCTGCCCTACAGGGACCTCTCCAATGGGAGGCAGGGGGGCAAGGGCGTGCTGTGCACCTCCCAGCGTGACAGCCACCATCCCGCACAGCTCCAGACCCACCACTCCTCTCTGGGCATGCCTCCAGGGTGAAGAACCACCCCAAAAGCCAAATACTCTCCAAAATATCACAGGGACTGGCTGGCTCAGCCCCTCCAGCTCCCCAAGGGCTTTCTCCAGCTTCTTTGTGCTCTCAAACCCAGAGTCCCAGCAAGAGCTCCTGGACAGTGTAGGGAGGGTGCAGATGATTCTGGATGCTCTGGTGCAAAGCTGGGGACCATCTCAGATACCCAGCAAGGATCCCGCTCTGCCTCGTGCCCAAGCCTGAGCTCCTCTTCCCTTTACTCCCAGCCTGCAGGGGAACCGCATCGGCCAGTCGGGAGCCAAGATGATCTCCGATGCCATCCGGACAAACTCACCTGACTGTGTTGTGGACATATGAGGGTGCCTGGCCGCAGCAAGGAGGCCTGGAGGGTCCCTTGGGCCAGCGTGCCTCCGCAGGGAGCTGCTCGCCCCTCCGCCCGCCCATCTCGGGGAGGAGAGCTGAGGCAAGGAGAGCTCCTGAGCTCCCTGGTGCAGCCCAGGAGGACCTGGGGCCTCCGACCAGCAGTGCCGGAGGGTCAAGGCTCGCTTGTGTTGGAAGCTGAGGGATGTGCGACCATGTCCCCATTCATCCAGGCCCTGGGGGAGCTTCGAAGAGTGGGTGAAATGCAAACAGGAGGGAGGAGGGGGCAGATCCCACGTGCCAGCCCTTCTTGTTTTCGTGGGTGACTTACCTGCCAATGCCGGTGGCAGCGACCCCCTCCTGTGATCTCCATGGGGTTACAGCGCTGTGCTCGGACCCTGCCCCAGACCGGGCACATCCTGACCGCCCCAGAGCTCTGCTCTCGTCCCAGCCCGAGTCGCTGCGGGCAAACGTTGCAGCACCCCAGCCGGGGCTCCAGGGCTCTGCTCCCAGCGCCACCTCCTCTCCCTCTGGTTCTGGCAGGGATCCCGGGAGAAGCAGGTGAAACGCAGGCAGGATTCACAGCAGCCCCTTCTCGTCCTGCAGGCTCCCCCTGAGGTCCCAGAGAGACGAGAGGTTTGCCGTCTCCTTGCTCAGAGGGGTGCGGTGCTTTGGTCCGGGGCACTTCAGAGCAGGGTCCCAGGCAGCGAGTGCAACCTGCGTGTTTGCCAGGCCCTCGATGACGGGTTGGTGCTGGCCGAGCAGGACAGAAGCATTTGTTAGTGCTGTTCGCTATGAAAGCCTCTCAGAAGAGACCAGCATCCCGAGGCGTAGGAGTGGAACCATCTAGAAAAGCTCTGGGAAGTAAAAAGCCCTCAGGATAAGGGGAGGAGGAGGGGAGGGTGAACATGACTCCTCCACTGCACGAGGATGGGCCGTCCTCAGCACGCGCGTCTTATCACAAAGTCCTGCCTCTCGAGTTTAGGCTGGACGTCTTGGGTCTCCCGCTGTTGTCATCGGTGACAAGCTGTGTGACCCTGGGACACGTCTTCCCAATGCCCCAGCGGCAGGCATGGTCCTCCCCTAGCGGGTCACCCAAAAGGGCAGGCACCTACTGAAAGCAGAGGTGCTGGGCGCCGCCTCGTGCGTGTGGCAGAGACCCAGTGACTCTCCAGAAGGTTTCCAGCTTGGCAGGTGGGCCAGTAGCCAAACTGTGCCCCCCTCCAGCCACCGTCCCCTCTCCCCACCCCACCCCAGCCAGAGTCCACCCCCAGCC